GTTTGGTCAAAATTGGTGGAGCGGTTACCGAGATATACAGATGTAATGATAAGTGGGCGTGGCTACCCACATTTCCCAAAAACGGATAATATTGTTATTTTTCGTCTCAAAATCATTGTAAATATCAATTTTGAGTGAATAAGCTTCACTAGTTACCAAAATATCGCAGTTTTCGTATTTCTGAAAACTACCGTTATATGGGAGGTAGGCGTGGTTATTGTCCGATTTTGCCCATTTTCAATACCATCCGTCCTACGCTGAAAAGAAGTACGCATATCGTGTGCTCAGACGGACGGACAGACAGTCACCGCTTAATCGATTTCTTTTTTCATTATGATCATTTATATATATATATTTGTCTATATCTATCTCGATTCGTTTTGGCTGTTACAATCAACCGTTATGTGAACAAAGTTATAATACCCTTGTGCACAAGTGCGCTTGAGTATAAAAATGATTTCAGAATATTCTACAACGATAAACTGATGATGTTGGCACGGATGCATAAGTTTGTAAATACCCTACTTACGGTGAAAAATGATAGGTATTGGAAAAGGGGGCGTGGCACTTCCAATACAAACTGAAATTCTCATATCGCTTATCTCTGGAACCGGTTGTGCTAACATCCTGAATTTTGAAACAGCTACACATGTTAACAATACCATACTTATGGAGAAAAATTGTAGGTTTTGGAAAAGGGGGCGTGGCATCTCCTATAAAAACCGAATTTCAAATATCGCTTATCTATGGAACCGCTTTTGCTAACGTACTTATGGCGAAAACTGGTTTGTATTGGAAATGGGGATGTGGCACCTCCCATATAAAATGTAATTTCCATATCGCTTATCTCTAGAACTGCTTATGATAAGGTTATGGATACACCTATATTTACAAATCAGAAAATAGAAAGAATCATTCAACTGGGAATAATTTTCTCCCAGATTCCAAAATCGCGTTGAATGACTGGTATTTTGTGGAAAGGTTTATAGAAGGATTTTTCTTCTGATATGGGGCTCAGGGATTGAGAGCTATCCTAAAGAATCCTATTTTTATGCTTCATCTTTTGAATACTTGGTACCCAAACGTGTGATGCAAAGATATTGATTTTTGGCCCAGTCCTGACAAAACCCGTGTGAACACCTTCGAGGTACTTTCTTTACTTCTACCGATTCTGACGAAGAGAAAGAGGAGTTTATTTAGATGTTGGAAATATAGTTTTTAACCTTCCCAAGGGCTCTGAGACCAATATAATCGAAAAACTTATTTACAGTTTAAATTAATTTAAAAGCTTTACACTGCAAAGAAAACATTATTTCAAGTTTGAATGTAAAATTGTTAGTGAGAGCTATTCTAAAGAATCCTATTTATTTGGTTCATCTTTTGAATACTTGGTACCCAAACGTGTGATACAAAGATATTGATTTTTGGCCCAGTCTTGAGAAAACCCGTGTGAACACCTTCGAGGTACTTTCTTAACTCCTACCGATTCTGATGAAGAGAAAGAGGAGTTTATGTAGATGTTGGAAATATAGTTTTTAACCTTCCCAAGGGCTCTGAGACCAATATAATCGAAAAACTTATTTAAGTTTAAATTAATTTAAAAGCTTTACACTGCAAAGAAAACAATATTTGAAGATTGAATGTAAAATTGTTTAATATATTCAAATATTTCTAATGAATATATAACTTACAGTGGCGTAGCCAGGGGGGATATGGGCGGATAGATTCCCCTTTGTCATTGAACTACTATTATTTACTTTTGAATTAATAACAGACTACTATTTTATCCTTCTGATTTAAATTTTTTTTTATTTCAGACGGATGACAAATTATCTTTTAATGAATATGGGTGTTTCCATGGGAAGGTGCACCACGACAAAAAAAATAAATGTCTTATATCTAACGTATTTACGGGCCGATTTGTTTGCTTTTTAAAATATATACTGGCTATGAAAGTAGAATCATGTTTGCGTAAAATTGTCTTCCTAGGTGGCGCCAAAGTCGAGATATTTCGAAAACCCGTATTTATGGTCCGATTTGGTTCGAATTTAGCGTATGTAGTTGAAACATAATAAATCATAGATTTCCAACAAAATCACCCTGAATTGGTGCTGAAGTCAAAATATATAGTATATTCTACATAAAATACATGTTTTATTTGCGTTAAAAATTCATCTAAAAGCAATATTAACAAAAATATAACGATGGAAATTTATGTCACGTGACGCTACGTCACGTGACGTTTCACACTTGGGGTTGTAAAAGAAAATTTAAACAAGTTGCATTAATTCCAAAAACTCTTAAAACAACTAGAATTGCTCCAAATCATATTAAAATAAGTTTCATGAAAGGAGCCATCCACAATTCGCAGAGTTTTGCGATTTTGTAAGAAAAGAAAAAATCTACTTCCATTTTTTGTCACGTAACGACACTCTCTTTAAATGCTTATATTTCAGGACCAAGCAGTTCGATTGTTTTCATTTTTCGGTTAAATATAGAGCTAATTATGTGCTATACAATGGCCCAAAAAAGTTGAAGAAAACAAATGGTATTCCTTGTTTGTATCACATTGAAACGTACGACTGTTACGTATGCGACGTATGGAAATACCCATATATGAGTAGTCCACTTGCAAACAGCGTTATGTGATTTTATAAAAGTAAACCATAAATTAAAAAAAAAAAGTCTACGACAGTAAGTAACATCCGAACTGTATCTTTTTTTATTACCTGAAAATTTGGATAAATAAAAATACCATTAAAAAATAAAATTGCAGTATGTTATATTTGCAAATTTTATATTTAAAAATTTAATATTGCAAGTTTTGAAACATTAACTTTTACATAGCTAGCTTTTTTTAGCTTTTCGCGTTCTCTCCTCTAGGAAGATTGGTTTGCTTCTTTTTTGCTTTTTCACTCAGCTGTTAGTGGACATGAAACCCACCAAAAATTACAAATCTAAAAAAAATTTACATAGGGCACTTTGCAAGTGGACTACACAATTGTTGAATATGCTATCTTATTTGTTCCTTCTTTTTATACAATTAAGGAGCGGCTGAATGGTTTAACGATGTTAGCGGTACATAATGATGTGCCGATTACAACACAAGAAGTAATTGAAAAAATGTGTGTTAAGCAACGAAGATTAAAAATCGCTTTATAAGAAATAANTAATAAGATTTTGTAGACTTGTACATAAATAAATGTAAATAGATACGCGTAAATATATAAATATGCAGATATATTCAGTGTGTAAAAATTGAAGTGTATACTAACGAAACTTCTACAAAACGNTTGTAGACTTGTACATAAATAAATGTAAATAGATACGCGTAAATATATAAATATGCAGATATATTCAATGTGTAAAAACTGAAGTGTATACTAACGAAACTTCTACAAAACAAAACTGGACTACACACTAATTAATTAAAATGGTGTAGTAATTTAATTTTTTAAATTTAAATAAAGCATGAATTCCCCACGGAATAACCGAGTAGACAAAAAATATATAACGGTAGAAATGGCACATACATACATATATGAAAGATGAAGACAGGCGACGCACTATAGGCAAAGNTGGCTGTAGCTGAGTGTGCAAAGATGCTTGATACAATTGGTTGCTACCAAGGCAGGCTGTCCGGGTTCAATCCCAACCAGACGGAGCATGAAATTTAAGATTGTTCTTTTTTTATTCTTAATTATGAAAATGTTTGGGTTTAACATTTAAACCGAATTGTTTAAATTCTAAACCCAACATATGTGCTCTCTTTTTTTTAAACTTGGAAGGTTTGTATTCGAAACTGAATTTAGTTTGGTCATATTGTAGTCCAAAAAGTTTAAAATTAAAACCGAAATTTTTAACCGTGCAATAAGCTTTTGTACGTGCTTTTTCTCATGTTGACGTAGATATTAATCGTAGAAAATTTTTCCATAGTAAAATAATAATAAAAAAATAAAATAAATAAAAAAAATTGATAAAAAAAATAAAATAAAAAAATAAAAATATTAAAAATAAAAATGAATAAATAAAAAGTACGTTGAAAACATATTGAGAACCATTTTGTCTCTGCCTTGAAAGGGTTAAAAAGCGTTTCATATATGACAGACTCTGCATTAAAGGGTTAAATGCTGCACTTTCGTAAAGATATCGACCAGTATAACCATTTTTGTTATATAAATTTTTTTGTGAAAGCTGATAGTTTACGAGTTATTAGAGTTTAAAGATAGCTTTCCTTTTCCAATCTGGCCACACGGGTACAGCATCCGATGTCCCAAGAATCTTAAGATAAAATAAAGAGAAACCTTTCAGAAACAGTACTAATGGTGTATTAGATATAGTGTTTTCTAGTGGAATGGGAGCCAAAATCCAAAATTAAAAAAGTGACATTTTGAACGGTATTTTGAGGGTTAAGTTATTGTTGTTGTAACTTCTCTATAGTTTTCCTATATGGTATGATCATTTATCTTCACGATAAAAAAACTTTCATTCCATTATCTCTTTTCTAAGCGAAGATCTACGATTTTGAAAAAAAGCTCCTGTTTTGCCTATAGTGCGACGCCTCTAGCCATTGTGTATCACAACTTTAAGTTATCGATGCAAATTTTTTTCCATAGGTCTGGCCCAAGAATGGAGCCTTGTGCTGCGCCCGACGTGATCGTCATTTGCCGGGGTATGGTATAATAACTCCCGGCCTTCTAGATAGCTTCTAACCATGAGTCTAAGGTACGTGGGTATGTTGTAGACTTCTTCTAGTGCGTGTATCATATTTTCCCATTTTGCGGTGTTGAAGGCGTTGCGAACGTCTAAGGTTGCAAGCAGGACTAGCTTTTTGTGTTGATATGCGGCTTCCACTGTTGTTGTTACATGTTTTATAGCTCCAATTGTAGATCTCCCGGGCCTGAACCCGTACTGTCTTGGGGAAAGTCCGCCGCCGCTGGCGATAGCCGCTTCTATTCTAGGTTTTAGCAGCCTTTCTAAGAGTTTTCCAGCTGTACATAGTGGTCGATACGCTGATGGTGAGTCAAGGTTTCCCTTTCCTTTGCTGATTAAGACGAGCTGCTGCCTTTTCCAAATTTCTGGGAATATTCCGTTCTTGAGGCAGGCATTGTACATGTTTAGAAGCACATGAGGGCGTTCTGCGGCGATTATTTTTAGAACTTCTCCTGGAATGCCGTCTGGGCCTGGAGCTTTCTTGGCATTTATTATATTTGTGGCAGCCTTGAGCTCTTTTGCGTTGAATAGTGGAGCTTCTTGAGGAACGATGATAGGCTCAGCTTCTTTGGTTAACGCGTCATGCGTGGGAAAGAGTTCACTTACTATATGGTCCATTTTTTGAGCGCTAAGCTCTGGTGGTTTTGCCATGGCCCCAAGTTTTTTCATTACCACCTTATATCCGAGACCCCAGGGATTTCTGTTTATATCTTCACGCAGTTCTTCCCACTTTCTGTGCTTGCTGGCCTCGATTGCTCGTTTGAGTTCTTTTCTGGCAGCCTGGTATAGTTGTGCCTCTTCGATTGCAGCGCTCCTACGCCTGGCCCTGGTGTAAGTACGCCTCAGGTGGAGGCACGTTCGTCTGAGTTGAGCTATGTTTTCCGTCCACCAATATGCAGGTCTTTTGTGGCGATTGCTTCCGGTTTTTGGCATCGCTTTGTTACAGGCGCTGGAGATCATTTTCATTGTAATCTCTACTGTTTCCATTGCGTTCTTGTAAGATGAATCTTCTGAGCCATGCGCATCTAGTTCAGATAGTAGTGCTTTCCTATTTAATTTCGAGACATTCCATTTGCGAGTGCTACATTGCATCTTCGTTCGTAAACCATCGTTTGTGGAGTCTATTATAAAGGAGATATATTGGTGATCGCTACCAGTGTAGTCTTCCAATACTTTCCATTCCTTTATGGTGCCTGCTATGCCTTCTGATGCTAATGTAATGTCTGGCGTGGTTTCCTCGCATCCTGGTCTTCGGAAGGTTGTTGCTGCGCCAGTATTGAGCACTATAAGTCCGAGTCGGGCTGACATTTCTAGCACGCGTTTGCCTCTGGAGTCCGTGTTTGGCATTCCCCACTCCGTGGCTCTTGAGTTTAGGTCTCCTGCCATCAGAAAGGGTCCTTCCAAGTTCATGGCCGTATCTTCGATGTCGTCGAGTTTATCTTGGAAGTCTTGTATGCTGTCGCTTGGTGTCAGGTAGCAGCTTATTATTTTTATATGGTTGTGTCTGGCCCAGACGTAGCCGTGTCCATATCCCTTTTCCGAGATGTGCATGCTGCTTCCGGGAGGTACCCATATAGCAGCGGTACCACTGCTGTCTTCTATCCAGATCCCGTTTTCTTTTTTCTTATACTGTTCGCTTATGATTACAAGGTCATAATGCCGCTCAGTGATCATCTGTGTCAGTAGCGCGTCAGCCGTTTTACTTCTGTGCATGTTAGCTTGCAGGACATTCATTTCTGGCACCAGTTTCTATATACTAAGCATCTTATGGAGCTTGGGATGTGATCCAGCTCAGTGTATTTGGCTTCCGAGCACAGACAGCATTTTGGTGGCTTGTTGCACTCTTTTAGCTTATGGCCTGGTTGGCCGCATTTTATACAGAGGCCTTGCCCTCTTCTGTCCGGGCAAAGTCTGGCTTAAGTAGTATCTAAAAGAAGATATAATAAAGGGCTTCACAAAAAAGTTTTAAGAAAAATACATGAAAATACAGTATTTAGATTGTCCAAAAAAGTTCGACTTTGTTCATTTTTTTTACGAAAAAACACCTAATTTTGACACATTACTCTAGCTACGTCGCTCATCACATATTAATTGTTTTTATTTCATTAAAAAAGAGCATCGTTTTCTATGCCAATTGCATTTTAAGCGTTCTGGCACGCCACTGTGATAAACAACACACCACAATTTAAAAATATCTATTTGATTTGTGTAATTTATAAAAAACAAAGTTTCAAAACATCAAATTTGACCTACAAAAAAAATATTAAACTGGGCTTTAAAACCCCAATGGATAATTTTTTCTATGTAATTGGACATTTCTTAACAAATTGGAATTATCAAAACATCAAAATTCCACTTTGATTTTTTCCGGCTAATGTCATCATATGGCCCATTATGCGTCAAATTCTCTATAAATGTTTTGAGTTTTCCGCCCTACCCGCTGCTGCTGAACGGGACTTGATACAAAAAAGAAAAATCTGCCCTAACTGTCACACGGTTGGTCATTTTGCATCTCACTGTCGTTTAGCTCCACGCTGCCATATCTTCCAGAAAGCACATCAACCGATATTGCATAATGATTATACAACAAATAATGCTGATTCTGGTGGCGAACAGCCACAAAGCAATTCATCGAACTAATCTTAATTGCAATCTCACCTCTCTCGCAGTGCCGACTGCCCCTCAAGCTCTTCCCGCTACTATAAGAGTAATTGAGTAGTCCACTTGCAAACAGCGTTATGTGATTTTATAATAGAAAGCCATAAATTTGAAAAAAAACAGCTACGACAACAAGTAACATTTAAATTGAAACTTTTTTATTATTACGTGAAAATTTGGATAAATAAGAGCCTTAAGCTGGGATCACACGATTTGTACATTTGGCTAAAAATTTGTCAAATTCATAGACAAATCATGTGAACGCTAAATTACATTTGTCATTTATCAGAAAAGCCAAATATTTGCCTTCTTGTGGCAAATGAAAAACAACCCTGGTGGCCAAATCGTGGGAACGCAATGCTGCTACACGGTTAAAAATTTCGGTTTTAATTTTAAACTTTTTGGACTACATATATGACCAAACTAAATTCAGTTTCAAATACAAACCTTCCAAGTTTAAAAAAAAGATAGCACATATGTTGGGTTTAGATTTTAAACAATTCGGTTTAAATTTTAAACCCAAACATTTTCATAATTAAGAATAAAAAAAAAAACAACCTTAAATTTCATGCTTCGTCTGGTTGGGATTGAACCCGGACAGCCTTGGTAGCAACCAATTGTATCAAGCATCTTTGCACACTCAGCTACAGCCACGCATGTAAATGTGCTTTCATATGTTGAGTTTGAATCAACACCACAATTCGCTGTGCAAACATATTCTATTTCGGTTTAGATTTTAAACCAAAGTTTCTATATTTGAAACCTAGAAACTAGAATTAAAACATTTTGGTTTGATTTTTAAACCACGAACTTTTTGGGCTAAAATTTAAACCAGAATATATTAAAAATTGCGTAAAACTATTGACTGGTTTAAAAAGTA